GGGCTATGGGGCTCCTTTAAGGGTTCCTTTAAAGGGTTCTATAGGGTTTAGGGTTTAGGGTTCATGGGTAGTTATAAGTGGGGTTATAAGTAGGGTAACTGTACTTATAACCCATATTAGGGGACTTGTAACTCCGCTTATAACTACCCATGAACCTCCATGTACCCCCCACAAAACATGTTGAAGGCTCCCTGCCCGACTACGAAGAGAAGCCTCGAAAGTTTGATGTGTGCTACGTCGGCCGCTAACTGAAGAAGCCAATAAGCAACAACATCCGCGGGAGGGTTTGAAGGTTGCGGCTTTGAGGCTGGGTTTGGCGCAAGTTAGCGACCTAAAGGTAAGATCGGCGACGGCTTTCACACCGAAAATGTGTCTGTCATGGCAGAGATGATAGTCTGGATGATGGTAACGACGACCTAAGGGGCAACACCCTAGGTCCATGCACCCGTATGGCATGTACTAGAGCTACTGTAGGTATGTATCGGCCATGGGGAACATGGACCCCTAAAGCTGTAGAGATGGTGCAAGCCTTGACAGGTCGCGAACCTGGACCCACAGTATAGAAGCCGGAACAATCAATCCGACTACTGCTTTTTCTTGAGGTTTGCTTATTATAGGCATTTTATATCACCGAAACCTGTTCTCATCACTACGTCCCCTAATTACCCGGATGTTCCACCCGGGCATAAAGATGCTTTCTCGGGCCTCGGCGATGATTGGCGGAGTTTTCATAAGTTGAGTCCATAGCAAGCGCAGAACACGTCGTACCCCAAATCCCAACACCCGGAACCATAACGACGGAACGCCTTCCCGGTAGGACTTGGCGATCTGCACGCGCTGGGCTCGTATTCCCTGCCTGGGCAGGCTTGCAGGGCTTCGGTGGTGAACCCCAGACTTCGGATTAATCTAGCTAACCCTCACGTCACGAATGGCAGAAGACCACCATCAGTGTCAGAGATATGTGCTACTCACCATCTGCATTGTCATTGCTGTTCTCAGTCATGAGACAGATCCTGTCTCCGTTCGTGATAAGCATTTTAAAGTCAGCACTCAACAGTGGTACGTTGCGCAATATACATGTTTGCATAAATCACACGCTTATTTGTACGTACACAGGTACGGATGAGTGAGTGCTCTGTATGAGCACTATGTATACACGCATCTATGTAGGAGTGCATGCATTAAATGCATGGATATAGCAGAGTGGATGCATGGAAGGGACGGAGGCATGCACGCATAGGTAGGTATGAATGAGGGAAATGTTCACTCAGGGTTCAGGGTTGTTGAGGGGACTTAGGAAGAGGGCTACAAGTGGGACATCATCCCAACTACAAAACTCAACGCCCCAAGTGTTGCCGATTCAAGAGGTCCCATGATTCGAAGCCACAGTATACTTTCCTGTAGAACCCTTGTACAGCCCCCGAAAAAGACCTCATAATTCCCCTTGATCCCCAACCCCAGTCGGCAGCCTCATCCTTGCAGAACCTTACAACGCGCTGGAGCAAGTATTGTGATGAAAGACCCAACGAACATCCTGTCAATTTCTAACACTCTCATACCTGAAGTAGCCCTTGAAAGAACACGTTTTAAGAACCTCGGATACCCCACATTCTAAACCCTAAACCTTCCAGGGACAACTTGGCACCCCGCACTCCGACCCTGATCTCCACATGTTCCCACATTGTGGATTGCAGGGCGGCCTCAACGTATAGATTTCTTCAAACTCTGTGACGCTCTTAGGGGCTTCTTAAAGGGCTGTATAACGCCCCCCTCACCCGGGCCTCTTCCCGCCAGGCACTTCCGGCTTGAACCCTGAAGCCTCGAGCCTGCTGCCTAATACAAACGGGCCGAAAGAATTACCTGCGCTAAGTTTCGGGGTTTAGGGGTTTAGGGGTTAGAGTTTAGGGTTTACGGGTTATTATAGTTCTAGTATACTATACCCCAAGACCCTACTCTAATTATTAAGGCCGCTAAACCCTGAACCGCCAACCAGTAAGAAACGAACTCGAAAGCTCAAGACCCAAGCCGCGCCAAGGGGGAAAGGGGGGATGACCACGCGTAGAGACCATTAGGGGGCCCCCAAAACAGAACATGAGCAAACATTAAGATAGGGATATCCCATATATAAACCCCCTTATAATGAAGCCCGACAAGGTAGGGATATCCTTGTAAAATGCTTATGCTTATTTTTCTTTAGGTCCCCTAGGGCAGCCGAACGGGGCAAAGACCCGTCGGGTTGCAACCATATCGCATGAGTATATACCCAGGCGTGAACGGAGTTCCTGGGTTCCTATGTGGGAGTTTCGTTATAAATCAGGATCCTACTTCCCCTATTTTCGGAAACCCCCATGTAGCAACCTCAGCGCCAACGTAGACAGTCCCGAACAGAATCATAGGAGACTATACATTCAAACCCATACTGTGCGATGATTCAGGCCCCACAGTTATACTCATTGTTTGAAGTGTTTTGGAATCTCCCGTCGCCTTTGTAGAACCCTTACGGAGCCCGAAACCACCGCATAAATAAACCCTACTTGGAGGTTCATGGGTAGTTATAAGTGGAGTAATAAGTCCCCTAATATGGGTTATAATTACAGTTACCCTACTTATAACCTCACTTATAACGACCCATGAACCTCCAAGTACAACAGGATTCCTAAACCAAAACAATGCAAAGTGCCAAAACCGAAGACCCTAAACTGTGTGATATAGGAGACTTTTCGGGGCTCCTTATTTTTGTTACGGTATAATGGACCCCAAAACCCTATCCTAATAATGAAAGACCCCGAGTATAGAACCCTATTATCGATTCCTTATAGAAGCCTCTAAGGATCCCTTTAAAGGAACCCCCATTCTAATTATGAAGGCTCCTCTATTATAGAACCCCTTATAGTATCCCTTATACGACCCTTTAAGGATCCCCCTGAAGGAATCCCCAAGACCCTATTCTAAGCAGTAAGGCTCCTATACCCTAAACCCTTATAGTAGCCCTTTCTACCCTTTAAAGGAACCCCCCGGAACCCTTTTCTAATTATTAGGGCATTATAATAGAAGATCCCTTTAAAGGAACCCCCTATTCTTCTTCTTAAGGCCCCGATAGTGTTGGACTCTCCCCTCGCCTTGTAGGCCGACTTCTCGCCGGGAGCAGTCCAGAGGACGACGCGACAAGGCTCGATCCTCGGGGGCTGCAGTGAGCCCTCGAGTTGCTTTAGGGTTCCCCTTTTTCGGGTTTAGGGTTTTGGGCTGTTAGGTTGCTTTAGGGTTCCCTTTTCAGGGTTTAGGGTTTTGGGTTTTGGGATGCTTTTGGGTTCCTGTTTGGGGTTTGGGGTGTAGGGTTTTGGGATGTTCTAGGGTTCCTTTTCGGGTTTATATAGGGTTTTGGGAGCCGTGACATCCCGAAGCCCTTCGAATGCTCAGCTCTACCCGGAAAGTTAACGTAGGGTTCCTTTAAAGGGGTTACTATAAGGGGTTCTATAATGTAGGGGCCTTAATAATTAGAATAGGGTTTTGGGGGCTCCTTTAAAGGCTTCCTTAACGGGTTCTATAAGTAAGGGCTACTGTAAGGGTTTAGGGCTTAGGGGCTTTAGCAATTAGTATAGGGTTTCGGGGCCCATTATACTATAATCATAGTAATGAACCCCCAAAATAGTCTTGGCAATTATTTAGGCTTAACCCCCTGGAGCCCTCTCAAACTCTGTAGAACCTGATCAATTCCCTATAACACCAAAAACCGAAACCTCTGAACCCCGTATCAAGCCCACATAACACCTGGAATCCTAAACCCTGAAGGCCGAAATCCCGGAACGACCTCAACCCCAGGACCGGTAAGCCCGAAGATTTTCAACTTAACGACCAACGAAGCCCCCAAAACCCGGAGGGTTTAGGTGTTTATCAACTCCTGAACCAACCTCCCCTCCTCGCCGGAAACTTGGCGCCCCCGCTTCTGCTGCTCCAGGAACGCCAGGGTTTTCACCTGCCACGTTACAGGGGTTTAAGGGTTTAGGGTTTAGGGTGGATGTATTTTAAAAGGCTCCCTCGGAAAAGCCCTTCAGCCACAGTTTAGGGTTGAAGGCTTAAGGAGGCTACGCCTTTTCTATACAGGTTGCTTTAATTGTTGCACAGGACCTATACCAGCTGTTTAAAGTAAGGTTCGTGTCATGCTCAAAGCTTGAATATCATTGCAATATATATATATATACACACACACATGTATATATATATATATTTTTTTCCGGGCTATAGGGCTTCAGGCTTGACAAGGGGACCGGCAGGAGACCACCAAGAGAGCAGCAGCAGACACCAAGGACACCCCAAAAAACTGCCCCCTCCCGATGCAAAGGCGGGATTGACCCGAGTGATCAGAATGCTTGGTTTACCGGATTCTGTGTAACTTACTTGTCGGGTATCATGGGGAACTAAAGGTTAACCTTTGGGGTTATATAGGGGTTATATAGGGATTGTACTACCCCAAAAAGGTTAAAGGTTACCTACCCTACTACTAGGGAAAATAAAGAGGAGGCTGAAGCCTGAACTCTAAACCCTAAACCCTCGACTCTAAGCCCTGTAGACCCCAAAGCCTAAACTCCAAACCCTCAACCCCAGCCGGCTCGGAACCATTCAAACCAAGTAATACAGGGGCCTTGATCATTTGAGTCGGGTTCTGGGGCCCATTACAGTCTATTTATAATAAGCACCCCCCTCCCCCCCAAAAAAAAAGTAATTATGAAGGCCCCTAAACCCTAAATCCTAAACCCTAAACCCCCCGTAGTACCCCATGATGCCCAGGCCCTGGCCAGGATGAACGGCCGCTTGTCGTTCTTGTACTTTCGTTCGCTGGAGATCTGGCATTTAGGGAGCAGGGTTTTGGACTTTAGGTTGTAGGGCCTTAGGGTTAAAGAGTTTAGGGTTTAGGGATTATGGGTTTTGGATTTTAGGTTGTAGGCCTCAAGGGTTTTTTCTAGTTTAGGGTTGTAGGGATTAAGGTTTTTTAGGGTAAGTGTTCAGGGTTTAGGGTTTAGGCAAAGCAGGGGCCAAAGACAAGTAGGATGGGGTTTTCTGTTTCTGTTCATAAGGGTTTTGATCGGGTTGGGTTGGGTGTTTGTGCGGCGAATTACAGGTGCCTGTACAATTAACATAGGATTGGGTGGATTATCAACCTGTATCACTGTATAAGTACGAACTCGATATTATCCGCCTTTTTTTGTGTATCCACAGGGTTTCAGAGAGTTTTGTTTGGTTTTAAGAGGGATGTATGTAGGTTTTACGTTGGTGTGCTAATGCTGGTCTCTACGAAAGCAGGGGCATTAATAATTAGAATAGGGTTTGGGGGTATAGTATGCTAAAATTAAAATAAGCAACCCCCAAAACCCTATTCTGAATCTTAAGGCCCCCGACTTTAGGGGTTTAGGGCACGCAGCCCCCTCTTGGAGTGACAGCCCCCCAAGCCACGTGGGTGTCTCTTGGGCCAAGAGGTTCCTCGTTAATGTCGGAGCCTTAATAGTTTAGGGTTTAGGCTTTAGGGGGTTAATAGTTTAGGGTTTAGGCTTTAGGGGGTTCTATCAGGGATCTATGATAGGGTTCTATACTAGGGGCCTTTATAATTTGAATAGGGTTTTGGGGGTTCCTTTAAAGGGCCTCTCCTATGTTCCTAACCGCCTCAAGCCATTTATTCTCTAGACCCGATCCCATACACCCGAAATGCTCAGATTGCCTCGTTCACGGGCTTCCAACGCTGGTAGGTGGGAATGACCACGAGGTACTCCTGCGGAGGTGAACCTGGGAAGTCTTGCATATCGGGGGGCCAGCAGGGTTTCCTAAACCCTACTCTGGAGACAGACAAGCTCTGATTTCCAACCCCTTAACCCGAAGCCATGATCTCCCGAAGTCATGAACACCTGCATGCCTTGCCGGACTTGTCTTTCCGCCCAAACATGGCTTAACTATCAGGGCCTTCATGAGCAAAACGAGGTTTTACAGGACAGCTTATTTATATTATGATGTAGTGACTACAATGGAATACCAGAACTTCATATTCCAACTTCTCTGTTATGTGGAGAGTTCTCAAGGTTGCGGGTTAAGGTTTCGTATCGTTGGGGGTTCGGAGAACTTCGGGGCCCAATGTAGGGCTCTCGTTACATGAGGTTTAGGGCCTACGGAGATCGAATGTTTCTATCAAACAGGCATGCTACTGTGTTAGATCCAGGTTGTGGCTCTTGATTTGCCCGCCGCAATGCAAACGGCACCGCAACTTTTTTAACGACTGAAGTTTACAGTGCCCCAAAGCGGTTAAAGGTTACCTATTTCGACTAAGAATCACAACAGCCCTTCGTGGAGCGATCTGAAACAAAACGAGGAGTCGGTAGCTTATGCCTGGGACGGAGTAACTTGCGGCTCAAGATACACTTATTGCTTCTTCTACGTACCACATTCAGGATCAAAGGATTTGCGACAATCAATGCATCATCAACCTGCCATGCCGGCGATGCTTCTTGGTCCTCTTGCTTGGGCCTTCTTGGAAAAGCTGCTAACAAAGTCGTCTGTTCAAGACCGTCAGTTTCATCAGCACAAAACGGATCAACAACACATACAGCAAATGATTGTAGGGACAGCAGCACCGATAGTACAAAGAGTAAAACTGCATAATATAACCGACCAATTGTGTCACCAGATTCGTAACACTAAATACGCATTCTACAAGACTAGGTTTGGCACTAAATAAACAGAAATCTGTTTCCTCAGGTGCCTGATACAGGTATTGTGGTATAGCAAGCCTCAAAACTTAAAACCGGGGGCATCGGATCTTGAGGTCTGAGGATGGAGCGTAGGGTCTCATTCGGATTCTAGGTTCCCCCGTAGCCCCTTAATAGATAGGGTACCCTTTTTCTTATTGTTTGGTTTTAATTAGAGAGCCCAACAAGAGAAAAAGGGCAAAAGAGTACTACTGGGGAAGCTAGGATTTAGGGTAAACGACCAATACATCCAAAGGAACTCGCTAGGGCTCGGCCAAACATCCTGAAACGCAAACAATCCTGACTGCTGAGATCCTGCAGCCATATTTAACTTCCCTCAATACCTAGTCACCTAGTCATGTGACTTTTCCTACATGGTGTTGAACCCTTGATCTTCTGGGCTGAGGTCCGAAGTTACGACTTGTCAACCATGACAATTAATACTGCTTTCAGATTGTCTATTGTCCTTGTAACCATGACGAAGAAGGTGGTAGTGGAAACGATAAGGATAACGACGACGATGATGATGGTGATGATGATGACAAGGATAGTGGCAACAGTTATGGTTCGATGATGATGATGATGATGATGATGATGCTCATGATGATGATTACGATGATGATGAGAGTGATGATGATGATGTTGATGATGATGATGCTGATGAGATGATGATGATGATGATGATGATGATATGACCATGACGATGATGATGATGGTGATGATGATGGTGGTGATGATGATGATGATGATGATGTTTACGATGGTGACGAGAGTGATGATGAAGATGATGATGGCGGCAATGGCGATGGCGATGGTGACGATGGCGATGGAAAGGATAATGGTAACGGTGATGATCAACATGGTGATGGTGGTGCTGGCGATGAAGTTGATGATGATCCTGCTGAAGATGATGGTGGTGGCGATGGGGTTGAGGACGGTAAACATGCTGATGATCCTGATGAGGATAGTGACAGTGATGATGACGGTGATGTTAAAGATGATGATGACGACGACGACGTTAAAGGCGACGGCGCTTCCTGAGTCCGCGGCGTGGCAATGGCCCCACTGCGGACAAGAGCTTGTCACTTGGGCTTTGGGTGCGGAGCTGGGACGTTTGAATTTATCATACCAAGGAAATCTCCATCATCGCTAGCCACGTTCCTGTGTAACCCCTGTAAAAACTGTAGCATATAGTATCCCCCAAAAAATTGTCCCTGTGAGATAGTCGCTGGTTTTCTCGGAGGCTCGGCTGCCTGCATTTTACAAGCGGGGCATCTGTTTAAGGAGTCTCCAGAACCCTGAACTCTTGACCCCAGTTAAATGCTGAACTCCAGAGTCATATATGGGGGGATCTTGCGAACCACAGCATCTGGGTAGATACATGACATGAGTGAAGTAAATGCAGTAAGTCTCGTAGCGCTATTTCGAACAAGAGAGACATCACTCATGAAGTGTTACTGCAAGTGCAAGCATTCACAGCAGAGCGTTGCAGTCCTGTCACTCTTGAAGGATCCCGGGACTTCGTTGACCGGCACTAAGACCCCTAAGCCCTAAACCCCTAAACTCTAAACCCAAAGCCCCTAAACCCTAAACCCCCCTAAACCCTACTGTATAGACCCTAAACAGTCCCTAAATGCTACCTACTGACCAAACAGTCCCTAAAAGCTAAACCCTAAACCCTAAACAGTCCCTATAAGCTAAACCCCAAACCCTAAACAGTCCCTAAAAGCTAAACCCTAAACCCTAAACAGTCCCTAAAAGCTACCTACGACGCTCTGTGAGCCGATCCGCTGTCGACAGGTTTTAGGCCGCGAGAACAGGTCGCTTGGCGGGTGCCCTCTCGATTCTTTAGGGTTTAGGGTTCAGGGTTTACGGGTTTAGGGGTTTAGGGTTTGGGGTTTAGGGTTTAGGGTTTAGGGTTTAGGGGTTTAGGGTTTAGGGGTTTAGGGTTTAGGCGCATGGCCTTGTGTTACAAAGTTTCAACCACATACCGACAAACATAGGCCCCATCGTAGTTCCTTCTTGTGGCTTATATTTAGAATCCTATAAGGTAACCCCAAAGAGGAACTACTCTGGGGCCTATGGGTAAGCTTCAAGCCGTAAATCCTAAATCCGGAACCCCAAACCCTTGAGCTCCAAGCCGTAAACCCGGAAGCTCACTAAGCGCGTCGCGTCAACGCAAACATAACCCTAAACCCTAAACCCTAAACCCCTAAACCCTAAACCCTAAACCCCTAAACCCCCAAAACCCCTAAACCCCTAAACCCTATAAACCCTAAACCCTCCAAGGGATGAAAGCTTGCAGGAACCCGCTCCCCCCATGCCCCAAGACACCCCCAAAGGCCTCTAGGAGGCACCATGGCCTGGTTGCAATCTACTTACTTTGAGGTTCCATGGGTAGTTATAAGTGGAGTTATGGGGTTCCTTTAAGGGTTCCTTTAAAGGGTTCTATAGGGTTTAGGGTTTAGGGTTCATGGGTAGTTATAAGTGGGGTTATAAGTAGGGTAAGTGTAGTTAGAGCCCATATTAGGGGACTATAACCCTGACCACCCATGAACCCCCAAGTAGTGGAACCTGAAGCCCAG